GGCACGAGCACAGACTCGATTCTACTACTTTCGAGCTATGTGACTCTGGGCAAGTCCTTTAACCTCTTACAGCCTTGTGTGTGAATCGGATATAAATACTGTCTTTTCTACTTACCTCACAGGTTTGCTACCAGGGTCAAAGAGATAATTTAAAAGTATAAAAGCACTTTGAAAACATAAAGGATTATTATTACATATTACATATTACAGACTCCAACTCCTCTTGACTAAAGTAAGGAAACACGTTGTTCTGCTCACCATCCTCCTTCTCTCTTCAGACTGTTCACATTCTCTTCAAGATGACACCCTGACCTTGTCACCACAGCCAGTATGTTAGTACCTCCTTCTTTGCATCTACTTAAGGGCCAAGGGTGAGCAGCCCCATCCTCGTTAAAAACCTGAATTCATATCAACAAAGGGTCTGCAGTAGCTTCTGTCCAACCTTGAAATCGTGCAAACTATCTGGTTTTCTTAATCTCTAGTTGGTTAGAGCACTCTCGTGTGTCTCTACGTGGTAAATATTTTAGGTCTTTTCCAGGACGTGACATTCTTTTCATCGCAGTATCAACAAAATGTGTAATGGAAATTTTTCTTCTCGTCACACTTCAGGGCCCATGCTTGACACTTGGACTAAAGTTAAGCCATTGCACCCCGAGTCTTTGGCAGGTTTCCTGCTTGCACTCGGGCCTGTAGACTTATTTCTCCTCCCTGCACACCCATTTCTCCTTAGTCATTTTGAGAAATCTTAGTCTCACGGTTCCCAGATGCCAACTTGGTCCTGCCACTGCTATTTTTCCAAGCTTACCCAGTTCCCAAAGTAAGATCACAATTTTTTTTTTCTAAAAAGTACATCACACTTTACTGAAGGACTGGGGAAAAAGGTAATTCCAAAGTATTAAGAAAGAATGTTTTAAGTGTTTACTAAATATGAAAGGTATTTAGAATGGTAAACCTTTCACAGGGGTCTGCTCATGTAAAGTCCTGGCACTTGTAAAGGAAAAAAATGACAACCAGAAACAGTGATATCTGGCAGTGTGTGCACATGCACACACACTCAAACATACACTCTTGCACACACATTCATTTACACACTTTTACAGCCACACACTGTTGCTCAGTGGGAAAGAAGGTCTCTCAGTGAGAATCATGTCATGCTATCAGCACAGGTCTTTGGAAAAAAGAAAATTTATATTTTATATCTGGAATCTCAAAATGTTCACTGTTCCCTCCATCAGTGAGGGTTATGGAAGCTTGAGGGACTTTCCTTCCCATATTCCCCCCTTGCCTGTTTGCATCCCTGGATTTTTCTGGATCTATAAGCCCCACTGGCAAACTCCATTGAGAGCCAAAAACCCACGTGCCGTTTGGCATTACCCACCCAAGGAACATGTTCCTGAAAGTTGCGTGTAAATTAATTTTTTGCAGAACAATTATGATTCCCCACTGACTTCCCATAAGATTTCAGAGCTGCACCCTCTTTATCCAGATGAATTTTCAATATACACCCAGCATTTCAGTTTTAAGTTCCTCTGCCTCCTGCCATCCCCTCTGACAGTTACTTAAACCTCATCTGGAAAATGAAAAAATGACCAACAAAGCATTAAGATCTCTTCTAAGCCCTGGCCTAGTATTTCAGCTGTTTAGAGTGTCATCCAGATATGCCAAGGTTGTGGGTTCAATCCTGTGTCAGGGCACACACAAGAAGCAACCAATGAATGCCTAAATAAGTGGAACAACAAAAATTTATATATATATTTGTTTGGCTCTCTCTAAAATCAGTGAATTAAAAACAAAAAAGATCTCTTCTAATTCAAATAGTCCAGGGTCTGTAATCAAACCTGTAAATACATGAGAGAGGCTGCTATTTGGAAAAGACACCAGGTACCAATTTCAAATGCTAATACCCTACATCTAACTTTTGGGGAGGCCAATTCCCAAGGTTTGAGGGTTTTTTGCCCCACTCCCTTGGAGGGGAGCAGTCACCTCAGGGGACTGGCATCTTCATTTTAGGAGAGCTAGTACTATCCCTTCTGCTTTCTGCTCCCTCTACCCCACTCCCAGGCATCAAATTCCAGATACCCTCTCTACTGAAACAGAGATGGGTGCTGAGATTCTGGGGAACCTGTATGCAGCTAGTGACCTAGGGTAGGAAGCACTTGCTAAGGAAAGATGAAATGAGTGGCTAGGGAGGCACTGTGGCTTTGGTCTCTGGCAACAGAGTTAAGCAAGGGCACGTGCGTCATGGTTCTGTGGTACTGGTCACACAACTGCCTTTGCAGTCTTTGAACCAGAAATATTAGTGGTGATAGGGAAGGAAAATGCCTGCTTAGTGGAGAGGAAACTTAATAGTCCAAGCATTCTTCCATTCTGCATTCTCCATGCTGGCATTTTTATTTAAAAAAATATTGCTGCAGCTGTTTGCATATTCTAGAAGCGTGTGTGTGCATGTGTGTGGTTTGGTGTTTACAGATTTGGGGTTAAGGAGGGGAGTTTCCAGAGCAACGGAAGTAACTGCTTGTCAGTCAGGGTTCATTTTGAAAATGAAAGCCTGAAAGCTTGGAGCCCACTCTGGGCCTGTGTTTGGTCTCGGAGGAGTCAGCAAAGGCCTGGAGATGGCTTTGGGTAGTCAGCTCAGTGAATGAATCATTGATTACTATCGCTTTTTTAACACATTGACCATACCTATGAGTTGCTTTTGCTGTCCTGCAGATTCAGTCTGATGCAGAAATGTGGGAGTGGTCATCAAGGTTTTGGCTGCAGATGCACCCCAGCAACACACAGACATACAATACCCCCCACCACATATGCACGCAATCACATTTTCCCAGGCTGCTAAACCAGAGCAAAGTAACAAATATTTCTCTCACGTCTACTAGGTACACAAGAACAGTATAACATAGTCATCAAAGAGTTTAGAGGTTTTTTAAAGATTTCATTTTAAATTTTTAGTTGGTTTTATAGAGGGGGAGTGAGAAAAACATTGATTTGTTGTTCCACTTATTTATGCATTCATCGGTTGATTCTAGTACGGCTGGAACCTACAACCTTAGCGTATGAGGACCACGCTCTAACCAACTGAGCTACTCTGACAGAGCCAAAGAGTTTAGAGTTTAATCATCATGTCAGAGCAAGGGGAGAGAAATACAATATAAGGCAGTCTGTACCAGGTGCTAAAACAGTAATACAAACAGAGGACTAGGGGAAGGAGAGGGATCACTCTGGGCTGGAGTAATCAGAGGCGGCTTACTGGAGAAGGTGGAAACTGAGGCCAACCTTGAAGGACAGGGAGAACTTCACTAAACAGAAACTGTGAGGGAGGACATTCTACGTAGAGGGCAAGTTCAAAATGTGCTCAGGTTAGGATAAATCCATCCATTTTGCTGAAATTTGGAGCTTGTGAGAGTGATTTGCAGCCAATAAACTTGGCTTAAATACCAGTAGGTGTGTGCTAGAACAAAGGCTATGGTGTCACAGACCTGCTCTGCCACTTCCTGCTGGGTGACCTTGGGCAAGTGGCCTAACCTCTCTCTGTACACTGAGGATAATAATGATGCTTAGCTCTTGAAGTCATTGGGAAGATTAAAAGTGTTGCATCTACCAGTCTCTGGCACATAGTAAATGTTCAGAAATAGGTTACAAATGCATAGACTGTCACATTGAAGGAAAGTTCAAGATATTTAGGGCTGGTCCCAAATATTTGAGGGCCAAGGAGGAAAAGCATCTGATACCTTCCATCAATGTTGGGCCCAGTGGAATGGCCTGGGTTGGCCTGAGCCCCCATCCCCTGTGGTCTACTGTTGGAACAGCCTCCTGGCGTCCTGCCTCTGCTTCTCCCATAATCATTTTCCTAAATACCACCTTAATCATAGCTGTGTCCCTCTCTGGCTCCAGAACCTTCTATGGCTCCCAGTTGCTCACTGAAGTCCCTAACATGGGGTGGGACGGGCAGGACGCAAAAGCTACCATTTATTGAGGGAAGAAAGAGCAAAGAGGAGTCCAGTGTTAGGAGTAAAAAGATAAACTCCCCTCCTCTTTTTAAAGCCCCTGAGCTCTAAATTCTCGGAAACCAGCAGGTCCCCGAGGGAGAGAGCAGGACGGAAGTAACTGCTTGTCATCTCTGAAGACGACAGGGTCGTCTCATGGCCTCTGACTCAGATTCACCTGCACCTGCTTCTTCAAGCCAACCTGGGAGAGGTTCAAGTGTAGAGGAGAGGGTGGAGCAGGGACCCGTGGTGTGTGTTTGGGGGTGGGGGGAGACAGCGGGACACCCCTTCTCCTGTTCCCTGGGAAGGCTCTGCCAGGGCCCCTGTCTCGGGTTTCTCTGTAGGAATCCCGCGAACTCGGGGCACTGCGGGAAGGGTCCAGGTCGCACAAAGGGCAGAGCGGGCGAGCCCGCGTCACATTGGGCAGCCAGGCCGCCTCCGTGAATGCTCGGCGCGGGACAAAGGCGGCTCCGGGACAAAGTACAGGGAGACTCTGGAGGAGATAAGAAGGACAGTGGAAGGAAGGGGGCAGGGAGCGAGCGTCCAGGAACCTTGGCCGGCCGCCGAGCTCAGCCCGCTGGGGAGGGGGCCCCCTCGAGCCTCTTCTCAGCAGCTGCTGGGATGCCGAGCACGTCTGCTGGGGCAGCCGGGTTGCTCCGGACTTTCGGGGCTGCTTGCAGATCCGCGCCGCGCCCGCCCCTCCGCTGCCCTCGCCGCCCAGGAGGCGGGGCCGCCCTGCTCACCTGGCCATTTGGGGCGGGGCCGCCCCCGATCCGGGGGCCGGATGGCGGCGGTACCGGTGTGCCGGCCACCCCCTCACCCCCGCGCGCCCGCGCCAGGGCCCTCCCTCGGCTCGCGCTCTCCCTCTCTCGCCTCCCCCGATCTGCTCCTTCACTCCCTCCCTCCGAGCCCAGTTGCTCAAGCCGCTTCCTTCCCCAGCGCCAGTTCCTCTCCTGGGGGCCCGGGAAGGGCTGCGAACGCGGGGAACGCGGACCGCGGCGGCAGAGCCACAGCGCCATGGCCGAGCCCCGGGAAGCCGCGACCCCGACACCCAGAGCCTCCCTGGCGCGGACCGCGCACAGCCTGCGGAGCGCCCCGCAGCTGCGCGCCTTGAGAGCGGACGCGGGCAGCCTGGGCAGGTACCGGGGCACAGCCGCCGCCTCCCGCGAGGCCGCCTTCCACGGCTCGCTGATGCTCTCGGGAGCGGGCTCGGGGCGCCGGCGGGGCGTGCTGCGGGAGCTGCTGGGGCTGCAGGGGGTGGCTCCCGCCGGGTGGCAGCCAGAGGAGCGTGCGGAGGAGCAGTCCCCAGGCGGGCCGAACGGAGCGGGCGGCAGCAGGCTGTGTCTGGAGCCCCGGGAGCACGCGTGGATACTGGCGGCCGCCGAGGGCCGCTTCGACGTGCTGCGGGAGCTGCTGGAAGCCGAGCCGGGGCTGCTGCTACGGGGCGACCCGATCACCGGCTACTCGTTGCTGCACTGGCTGGCCAAGCACGGGCGCCACGAGGAGCTCGTCCTGGTGCATGACTTCGCCCAGCGCCGGGGGCTGAAGCTCGACGTGAGCGCCCCGGGGAGCGGCGGCCTCACGCCCCTTCACCTGGCGGCCCTGCAGGGCCACTACCTGGTCATCAAGGTGCTGGTGGGCGCCTTGGGGGCTGACCCCACGCGCCGTGACCACAGTGGCCACCGGGCCTGTTACTACCTGCGGCCCGACGCGCCCTGGAACCTGCGGGAGCTGTCGGGGGCTGAGGACTGGGAGATGGAGAGCGGCAGTGAGCGGGTCAACGCCAACAACAACAGCAGCGGCGCCCCCGCCGCCGCGTGGACGCTGCGAAGGACTCTGAACGCAGTGGGCATGATGACCATGGAGACGAGAGAGGCGGCACTGTCCAACAAGGAGAAGGACTCCATGGGCAGCCGAGTGGCACAAATTCAAGGCTTTTTCCGCCAGATATTCCCCTTCTTCCAGGATCGTTGAGGGCAACGTAGATGAGAGCGCAGAGGGACCTCGACACTGCGGCGAGGTCTCTGTCCTGAGTAGTCCCGGGTTCCACACCGAAGGGGCTGTGTACCTTATATACAGCCGAATGTGCTGGGCCTGTAAGGTGCAGACCACCTCCGGTTTGTCTCCAGTCCTGTCACAAGTTTCCTGTAGCCACTGGCCAGGAGACCTGGAGACCAGCGCCATCCCCCCACCCAACCAAGAGAGAGCAAAGACCAATCTGTCTTGGAGCCGAATTCCAAAAGGAGTTGGGGTTAGGAGCCCGAGTGTGGTCCTGCTTGCGAGAGGGAAAGTTAAGCTTCCAGTGGCCATTTCTGATCTTGCAGAAGTTCTGGTTTATTGCTAGAAGAAGGAGTTAATTGCTAGAAGACTGTAAATCACTGATGCAGAGTAAGTGCCTAACTGCAGACTTGACTTGGCTATTAACGGGTTACTTTGTGTCACCAAACTCAGCCCCTAGCTCCCCATTCCTAAGACAACCAGGCTTACAGGTACCTTTTCAAATGTATCACGGATGACTTCTTAAGCATATTAAAGTGGAATTGTTTTTCTTTCACATGACAAAGCTGTCCTTTGAGTTATTGTTGTTGTTGGTTTTTTTCATTAACCACCAAGGGAAAAGCTTCCTACATGTACAGGGAAGAGGTCACCCACCCATGGCCAGAAGCTACTGAGCCAGGGCAGGCTCTGGATCTCATTCTCAGAGCAAATGGCTGAGCTGTGCACTGAAGGAGCTACTTTCACCTTGACTCTGAGTAGAGACCCACAGTCTACCTGTCTATTGGGCTCTTGAGCATCTAGGTTGGGGCTCTGGCACAAGTCTCCTCCTAGAGGAGTTGTGTGTAGGGGAAGGAAGGGTGGTAGAAGGAAAAGCCTCCAAATGTACATTTCTGATATTTTGTGGTGAGTCATGTCATTTACCTGGACTTCTGCCCTTCAGTGAGACACACTCACTGGCACTTTTTTCTGAGATAAGGCTTTAATCATCATTTTCTTTGTTTTTAAATTACACTTCATCTATAAGTTGTAGTTTAGAAAACTGTTCCCATTTAGAAGTAGTATGAACTGAGTAGAATACAGCACAGTTGACTCGAACTGAAAGGAGGGAAAAGCAGTTGGAGGCTGATGTTGTGTGTAGTGGGAAGAAGGGTGGTGAAAGGGGAAGCTTTCAAATATACATGCTGCCTTACAGAACAGTGCATTTAAAAAAATAGTACTGTATCCCTGGAGGCTTGGGTAACCCCTGCAATGGACTATTGTGTCCCCAGGCCTCTCATGTCAGTCCTAGAACGCCAGGGAGAAATTGAGTCATCACAGAATACAGAAACACTACCCTGAGCCCATCCATCCAGATTTGGCCTATTTGTCCTTTTTTATCACCCATTCTGTGCCCCAAAACAATCCCACCTTCCCTTAGTAACCCACTAGATTCTTATCATCCATGAAATGATCCAAACCCTTCCAAATGATGTTTGCAGCCTGTCCCATATTTCTAGGACCACACCTTAAACATCTTTATACAGTATGATGTAGCATTTCCTTTTTCTTCTTAAAGAACTACGGTGTTTGAAGCGGAGAGGGTGAGCAGTTCCTGGCTTCTGGCATTTGGCATCAGCAGCTGGCATAACCTCCTGCACCTTTTGTGCCTGTTTTATTAGATGCACATTGACTAACAGATGTAAGACTGTGGTTTCTGCTCCACAACCTCCCCTTGACAGCTACCAAGGTGGGTTGGGCTTGGTGAAGGCTGCCAGAGCAGGGCCTTCCTGCCACATGGCTGAATCTGTGGATTCCTGGCTTGGAGGGAAGATTGGCATGTGCCTTTGCCCAACATTCAAAGGACACATAATAGTAGTCCCCTGTTAGAGGCTGTTTGAACCTAAGCGTGTTAACTATTAGCAGATTTGGGGACCTGAGACCAGCATCCACCTTCTCTTTTCAAAATGAAAACCAAGTCAGCGAGAAGATTTGAAAGCGCCTTTCTATAGTTTTTCCTGTAGTCAGCTATTATTCCCCACAGATTTTTTTCTCATCATGTGATATTGTCGAGCCTACCTCCTCCATGTAAAATTGAGGTTTGACTGCAGGGGATGTATTCCCATTCTGAAAACTCTCCATGCCTAACATCAAGCCATTGGCATTTCTGGTATGCTTTTTGAGGCAAGACTGGTATGCTTATCCCAAGAAAAAGAACAAATTTCCTGAGAAACTTCTTTCCAGGGGAGCAAAACGGAGTTAAACAGATGATGCTAATCTACATTCTAGTAGGGCTTGCAGACAAGAAAAGGAGATGGAAACAGGACTCTGAGGTGTAAACATGGGGGGAGGGGTGCTGCTCAGAGGGTGGGGCCTGACCCAGGCTGAAAGGTACTGGAAAGGCTTTCAGGGAAGAAGGTAATTAATTCCTGATCTGAGGCATGGGTGAGTGGAAGATGGTCAGTGAAGGGGGAGGGGCCTCCTAGCAGAGCCACTGGAGTGTGTACAGGCCGGCAGGGAAGTAGAGCAAGTATCAGGAAGTGTAAGTCAGCCTGTTTGGCAGGAAGGTGGGAGCTAAGGAGTAATTAATAACAATGTTGGAGAAGTAGGTGGGGCTCCAGATCGCTGAGGGTCTCATAGGTCATGCTAAAACAGGAACATTGATTTTCACCTAATGGTACCTGGGAGCCATAGAAGGAACATGAGATTTTAGAAAAATCACTCTGCCAGTCACATTGAGGATGGATGTGCCAGGGGAGACAACTTGGGGAAAACGCAGCACACAAACAGTGTTTCTGAAGAAAACTTTCAAGAAAAGTCATGCTTCAGCTGAGGAGTTCAAAGACTCCTATGGAGGTCAGTGGCTTTCGAACTTTCTCCCTCTCCATAGCCTTTGATCTAATAAAGCTTACTTTGAAGCTCATGTGTAAAACTGACAAATACAGCCCTGGCCGGTTTGGTTCAGCAGTTAGAGCGTCGGCCTGCGGTCCAGAGAGACCTGGGTTCGGTTCCCGCTAAGGGCACATACCTCAGTTGCAGTTTGTCCCCGGCCCTGGTTGGGTCGTGCGGGTGGCAGCCACTCGATGTGTCCCTTTCACGTCGATGTTTCTCTCTCTCCCTCTTCCTCTCACTCTATCTGAACAAAAATGAACAAAAAATGGAAAAATGTCCTCGGGTGAGAATAAAAACAAACAAACAAAAAACTGACAAATACAGAGCTGTTCAATTTGGGGCTAGGTTACAAGCTCCCCACCCCCTGCCTCTGTCTTAGATAGTCAGTTGCACACAGGGGCCGGTGGAGCAAAATTTAAAACCGCCCGGGTATAGTGGAAAGCTCTCAGCCTAATCTGGATTCCATCCTGCTACTGACTAGTGGCCTTGCAAATCACTCATGTCTCTGAGTTGCAATTTTCTTATCAGCAAAATGGGAAGGATACGATCTCCCTTGAGGTTTGTCCTGAGGATTGGAGATAAGTGTAATCTGCCTTGTACCCTCAGGAAATAGAAAATGACAACTGTTGTTTGGAAGAATTGAAAGGTGCTCAGCGGCTCTTGTGGTGAAACTATTTTACCTGCTAGCTTAGTCCAGGAAGAATCTTGTGGTTGCCTGTACTATCCCATCTCTAAAATGTGTCCGCATTGCCCTGGCCGGTTTGGCTCAGCGGTTGGAGCGTCGGCCTGTGGTCCAGAGAGACCCGGGTTCGGTTCCCGCTAAGGGCACGTACTTCGGTTGCAGTTTGTCCCCGGCCCTGGTTGGTCGTGTGGGAGGCAGCCACTCGATGTGTCCCTTCACGTCGATGTTTCTCTCTCTCTCCCTTCCTCTTTCTCCCTCCCACTCTATCTGTACAAAAAATGGAAAAATATCCTCGGGTGAGGATAAAAAAATAAAAAAATAAAAAAAATAAAATGTGTCCGCATTGATTGCAAGTCATTTTCTTTCTGTGCCAAATGAGAGGCTGTCGAGAGGCTGTTCCTCAAAGGAGATGGTTCCTCTGCTGATGTTCTTCACACCCTACATTCTTTTACTTTAGACAAAATTGTAACAAGCTGCCTTACTTTGTTCTCAGCCCACAGAAGTTAAAGCAGCAACTTAATAAGTGCCCATCAAATATTAAATAGGTTAGATATTGTTTCCAGATAAAATCATAAACTAGAGTCAGAGCTAAACCTGAAATCCTCTGAAAATAATAAAAGCATAAAATCTGTTATCTCCGGACCCTATTATCTGTGAAAATGCCTTCCTCCCATTCCAGCCAACATACCCTACATTCCACACCCAGCCTCCATGTCTTACCTTTTTCTGTTCATTTTAACGAAAGAGCATGCCTGTCTCCTTTATCAGACTCTCAATCTCCTCGCGGGGCCTTAGTCCATCAATCCCTTTCCTGTATCTTCAAGCTCACCCTCAGTTTAGTTCAGTGCAATAACATTTATTGAGTGTATAGTAGGAGCCAGGCTCTTTGTGTGACAAACAGGCTCAAGTCTCCCCCAGCCTCCTGGCTCAATCTTGTGACTCTCCTTTCTTCACATTCAAGCCTCTCAGAGAGCTCCCCTCCCCTCCTTTTTTTTTTTTAATTCTTTTTTTATTGATTGATTTTTGAGAGAGGGAGAGAGGAAGGGAGAGAGAAACATTGATTTGACGTTCCACATATTTATGCATTCATTGGGTGCTTCTTGTATGTGCCCTGACCAGGAATCGAACCCGCAACCTTGGCATATTGGGACAACACTCTAACCAACTGAGCTACCCGGCTAGGACTTTCCTCACCTCTTAATCACTCCTCAACTCTATGCATTCTGGTTTCTGCCTTCAGCATCACAGTGCAATTGCTTCCTCGAAGGTCTCCCATGATGAACTCCCATCTGCCAAATGCAAGACCTTATCTTAGTTCACTTCTTGGCCTTACTGGCCAATGTTGGCTACTTCTTCCTCCTTGAAACCCTCTTCTCTAGTCTTCCATGACCTCCTATGACTTTAAGTCCTGGTGTTTATCAGGCTGAAGTCCCAGAAACTTTTCTCTCCATTCTATACTCTCTCCCTAAGTCATTTCATCCCTTCTCTACTCACCCTTCCTCACTCTGCTCCAGCCACACAGTCCTCCTTGCTGTTGCTCAAAGGAGCCATGTTATTCTGAATTCTAAGATTCCTACATGCTGTTCCCGCTCCAGAAACACTCTTCCCTCTATTCCTTGTCCCTCCTTCACCTGGTTCACTCCCACTTATCCTTCAGATGTTAGTTTAAATGTCACATCCTTGGGGAAGTCTTCCCTGCCCCTCAGGCTAGGTTAGCACCTCATCTGTTAGATTACTGTCTCCTCTACCCACCCCCCAGACTTAAATGAGGATATTATTCATCACAGTATCCCTAGTTCCTGGTAGATGGAAAGTATTCAATAAATAGGTATTAATTGGCAATGGAATCATAGATTTGACCTCAAAAGCACAGAAACAAAAGTTATGTCAGCTTGACTAGGCTACTGTCCTGCCCTTCCTGAAAGCCTGCCCTATGAATTCCCAATTGTCCTAGTCTAGCCTTACCATTGCAGAAGCCAATTCCTTGCAATAAATCTCTTA